GATTCTAAATCTGAAGTTGTGGCATTCAATAAGGTTTGTGTTTCAGAAAGTCCTCTGCTTACTTACATTCATAATCAATGTTTTATTTGTTTACATGAAACTTACTACCAGGGGAAATTTTAGGGAAAAGATACTATCTTGTTTGGGCTTGTTTTGTTTTACTAAGGCTCTTTTGATTTGCTGATTTCCCAGTTGAAATTTGGTGGCCAGCTGTGGTTGAAATTCTGATGTGAAGAATGTCCTCTCTAGGTTTTATGTAGTTCAAAGGATAGAAATGAAAAGGAATAGGTGGAGACTAGGTATTGGCCATTTTTCTGAGTACGGGAAATCAAATTCAGTGTAACCTTATGGAGCACAGAGTGGAAAGCCAGACAATTAAGGCTACCCCTTCCACTACCTCTTGGGGAGCTAGATAGCCCTTCTCTACTACCTTTCTCTGCAAGTCTACGCCATTTTTATTGTTCTGTTTATAGATATGCTTTCTTTTTCATTTATTTATTATTTTGAATTAATCATTTTATTGGGGAGCTCTTACAAATATTACGGCAATCCATCATTCAATTATATTAAGCATACTTGTACATATGTTACCATCAACATTTCTAAAACATTTCCTTCTACTTGTGTCCTTGATATCAGCTCCTCTTTCCCCCCTCCCTCCCCCTAGCCCTGCTTTCCTGATTCAGTTAGAGTGCATAGAGCTTTTGCCCACTACCATTGTGGTGCTCTTTACCACTTGATCTCTCTGTTCAGGCGGTTAGCATCATCTAGTTCTTCTGACTTTTGATTGGCATAGTCTAGTTTAGGAGCCTGGTTTAGTTCCCCTTCATTTAGGTGTTATCTGACTGGTCCATCGGGCAGTGGTCATGGATATCTGTGTACAATTTTCCCCGGGAAGTTGAGGGAGGCAATAACTGTTTAAATACCTGGATATTAAAATGCCTTTTTTCCTGTTTAACTATTTGAGACTTAATACAGGTCTTATAAGAAGCTCTGGTACCACAGTTGGTTAAGTATTGAGCTGCTAATTACAAGGTTTGGGCACACCAGCCACTAGCTGGGAGGAAGTTGAGACTTCTGTTCCCATAAAGATTTACGGTCTTGGAAACCCAGGAAACAGTTCTATTCTGTCCTATATGGTCACTAGCAGTCGGAAGCCCACCCAGTGATGCTTTGGAAGATGTGCTAATCTTCCACAGGGTTCCAGCCCTGTGGAGCATTTCTGCTCTGTACATATGGGTTCTCTGAGTCCAATTGACATAAACTAACAACGGGCCTTGTGCTTTTCTGTCTTCTTTGTTTGCTCTTTTTTAAGTAGTTTTTTTTTTTCCTTTACTGTCTTGTGATTTACATTTGATTTGCTTTCAAGTTCATTCTTCTCAACTGTAGTTGAACTCTCACGGTCCTTAAAATTTTTATATCCATAAATAACAATAAGAGATAGAAACTGTTACTTCTCAAAGAAATTAAAAAATACCGGTCCTTGTTTTATTGTTTAAACCACAAGCCCTTGGCTCCGAGTAAATCAGGCCTTTCTTGATGCTTGGTGCTTATTCTTTAAAATTACCAGTGCTCTTTAATTTTTATCTCATTCTCTTCTTGTGTAAGAAGAACGTGTTATTTTCATGAGATGACTTTTAAAGTATTTTAAAGATGTTTCAACAAACAAATACATTTTTCTTTTAATACCTAGAGTAATACCTTAAGGTTCAAATTAAGGAAATGTAAGTCTTTATAATAGAACTTGTCAAACTTTTAAAGATCAAGCTGCCTCATTTATATTCACATAGCTAATTTCTACAGAGGTTTATTTAAATTTGTAAATGATTGAAGTTCTTTTTCGGCAGATTTCTGGGGAAGGCATTTTTTCTTAGATTGTTTTAAAAGAGGATCAGTAGTTACTTTATAGTGTGATGTCGAGAAGACCATCATTCTATCAGTGTAATGTGTCTTATTACCCTCTCACTGTGCTCACCACTTTCTCAGTATATTTGGCTTTCAGCATTCTGACTATGGTGAGCCTTAGTATGGTTTTCTGTGTATTTATGTAGTGCCGAGTTAACTAAACTTCTTGGAACTGTAGGTTGGTGCCTTTATAAATTTTGGAGAGTTCTCAGCCATTTTAACTTCTCATATTTCTTCTGATTCTTCTTCTCCTTTTGAGACTCTAGTTATCCATATATGATGGTAATTCAAAAAGTATTGCTATACATTTTTAGGCCCCCCTTTATTAAACAAAAATATCAAAATAAGAAGCGTTTGTTTCTCAGTATTTCCTCCATCTAGGTCTATATAATTTTGAAAGCAGTTTTTCTTCTCTTTAATCCTTCACCAAAGAATTCTGGACTCCTCCATTTATACCACGTCAAGAGGGCAGTTTTGGCATCCTTAAGGGACTCAGTTTGTGTTCTCTTTAGATTTGTGTGTGTTTGGGACACAGAAAGAATTCTAATGCAGCAAGACCAGGACTGTAGGGTGGGTGGGGTGAGGTTTTCCAGTGAAATCGCATCCGACAGCCCTTTTACTCTCAGGAAAACGAGCAGGTCCTGTGGAACAAGGCCTCTGCACAGCCTCCTGACCTTTTTCTCCTCAGGGCCGTTTTCACTTTTCTTAAAGCCAGTTTACTATAAGCCCTCATACCAGCCTATCAAAATAATTCCTATAACTCCTATAAAACAGTCACCGTCACCTTCTCAGCTGACTTCCCGCCCTTGAGTAATCTAGTTCCGCAGGGCCCCTCTGAAGCTTCTGTTCTGACTGAGCCCTTATGAAGGTAACCCTGATGAAGAAAAGTCTGTACCCGAGAGCTTGTCTGCAGGCATCTGCTAGTCACAGAGACATGTTTAAACACGTTTTGTTTGGGATATGTTTATGCATGTGTGAACGAGAAGTTTATTAGCAATACTTTTTAACATACCTTGATAATACTATACTGATATCTTCGAAAGATCTGTTAACACTATTCCATCCCTCATTTCTCTTGACCTACTTTTACATTCTTTGATTCTTTTCTCTGTTGTGCCTTGTCTTCTGCCTGATTGGTGTAGTTTGGTTTATGAGACATCAAAATTTTTATGCTCTGATGCAATGTTTTTTGTTTTTATATTTTCATCGATACTGAAATTTCCCACAAATATCCACCTTTTCTTTTAGCTACTTTAGCATACTTATTTTAAAGGACAGTGTTTGATAATCTGATCATTCCAGCTTGGTCTCGTAGCTGGATCCTTCCTTGAGGATAGATCTCATTTTCTTGATCTCTTGGGTGTCCTATAATTTTTGATTGAATGCCAAGGTCTGTGTATTATAAATATGATTTTGTAGTTTATCTGGCTTATAATGAACTCAGATGTTTGTGGTTTGGGTAAGAGTAACATTTTTCTTGTGAGTTCTCATCCTACGGCAGATAGATAGCTGTATACTTACATATTTGCATATGTTGTCTGACTTAGGATTTTAAGATGGTGTATTAGTCTGGGTACTTTGGAGAAACAAATCCACAGCAACTCATGTATAAGAGAGAGTTTTATGCAAAGAAAATGTGCATCACGAATACATCCCAACCCAATGCTGCCCAAGCCCACAAGTCCAACATTAACCCATACCCAACACCAGTCCACAAAGTCCTTCACCTCACAAAACAGAGGCAATAATGCCGACTGCAGGAGGAAAGCTGAGTCAGTGAACATGTAAGCATCACAGCACTAGCAGGGGTCTTCACACGGCTGCTCCAGCACCCAGGGCTGCATCGGGATAGATCCATGCGGCTTCTCCTTGGGGATGTCTTGTAGGAAGTCAATCTTGCAAGCTGAAGCAGGGAACTGCTAAGGCAGCTGCACCCGATGCAACCATCACAAAACAAGAGACCCGAGAACTAAAAAGGCGAGGCTTCACCACCCATTTATCCCTCCGCCTTTCAACCAGCAAGCACCACATGTGATTATCGGCCAGGCTGGCACAATTAACTAACTCAGATGGTGATTCCCAATAATAATGGAATTGCAATTTTTCACTTATTTTAAAACGTTTCAAAAACCTCAATTTGAATCGTTTTAAAATAAAGCCTAAATTATGCATAACCCTATTGTTACTTCTGTTAGGAATTTCTTCTACCTGGAATTATAATTTTTTCTTTGTATCCAAAATGGGTGCATGGGGATTGTTTCCCACTCATCTTGCTTCAGGGCCTTTTGGTGCTGCTACCTTCTGAAGGAGCATCCTTCTGTGAGCCTTGCTTTTCCTCCTGTAGGCTGGCAGAGGACAGTAGAGCAGCCAACACACAAAACTGCTGATTGTGCATGGCTGAAGACTGTGGTGATTTTATAGCAGCCTGGGCCATTTGACATCCATGAAGTAGGAATTGGTGCTTCTTCTTGTGCTTCCCTTCTTTTCTGAAGAGGGATGGAGTGCAAGAGGCATAATTGCATGGGGAGGTTGTCACCGCTGGAAAGGCAGAATTGTACATTTTTAAGGAAAATAGCCAAATCACAGATCATAAGCATTTGGCAATTCAGACAGAAACAAAGCATATGGAAACCTTCCCAGAATTCATCCGGTTGTCACACATTCAGCT